CGAAACATGTGAATTACTAATTGTTAAATCAGTTACCAATGGGTTTTAAAGTTATTTCTTAAAGATACTAAACAATTCGTTTGTTGCTTTCATCTTGCCCTTCTTGCAATAAGTGCTACAGTTTAGTGTAGTTTAGCAACATAAGTACATTTCTGAAGAAGCTAATACAAAATACGTGGACACATTATCTTTTCCGATTATTTTATGAAACAATTCGGAACCCGCGACATCAGAAACAAACATTTCTTTAGGGAGAGACGGTTTTGTAGTTTATTTTCGTCTTCTTTGCCTTGCGCTGCACTCCTGTGACAGAAATACGATAAGTCGAAGATACAACACTACAGGGCGAGTCAGAAATATGTTTACAAACTTCGTGTGCGTGTTCCAGGATCAAAAATAAGAAAAAATGTTCCTATGAACATGGGGTCGCAAATGTTTCATTTTCGAAATACTCATCCTGTATACAACTCGCGACTCTCCTGAGGACCGACTTCTTGTGCACGTTAAATAGAATACGTTTCGGGACAATTAAAAATGTATACGCCATTAGGGAGCGTCTGATTCAGTAATTTCGTACAAGGATAATGCAAGCACAAGTGGGCAATTACATTCCACACTACATTTCTGCCATTTTGATGCTCAGATATGAGGTCAAGATCAAAACAATTTAGAGCTGACTGCGTAGCCCATAATCGTGTCCACAAAAACTGTATTCTGAATCACACAGCAATTTTTAAACACATGCTTGCTGGCGTTTAACAGAAATAAAATCTCATAAAGTACGGAGCTATACTACATTGAAACAATGAATTAAGACCTCGATAGATATACAGAAACCCTACTTATGAGCATGGTAAGATTTCTTTCATTTAGCAAAAGAAACTTAATTATTACTTTCAGAACGGAAGTCAAAAAAAAAAGATCACACACGAGTCTGACGGATGCACGAAGCAAGGAAGGCAAACTGTAGATGCCAATTCAACAGAAGCCTGAGAAGAACGTCCAAGCATTCACCCCTTGCCTTAATCTACCAGAAGCCCTGCCCCAGTGAAGTTCATATTACGAAATGAGACCAAACTCGTGGTGATGATGTGGTGGTGAAGTGATTCCATTTGTGAGAGAAATTGGCAAAACCAGAAGCCGATTATAATGACAAATGTTATACTACTACTGCTAAAGACGCTACCGTGTTAAAAAAAACCTGCAGATATTTAACACGCCAAGCGAAATAATGTATGCCTAACGCAGTTCCTCTACCGTCAATAACTGTTTGCTATAAAAGTGGGTAAATAAAAGAGCGGGCAGCAAAAAAACATTCAATCCTCCGCCGGAAACATCAAATATCACAAACTTCTCTGCAGGCTACCCGGTCTGCAGTCATTTCTAAATATCAAAATGTCTGTAAAAACAAATAATATGCTATCTGCAACATTTCAGGGTAGCAAGTTCTTCCGAAACGCTGGTAACCACCGACAAGATTATATGGTGTTACAACCCAGAAGACCATAATACAGGCCGATATGGTTGTCACGACAGGCTAATTATTCACAAGATTTCCTTCATTGCAAAACTTCCCTCATAATAATAATAATATATTCTATTGAGGAAGAACTCTATTCTGTGTTCTGAATTCATAATCTACCCGTCATTACTTTTAGCACATTCTGCTGAAAGCGTGTGCACGATCATTCTTCATCAAAACCAGACATTTTTATATCTGAACAAGAAGTCAACTAAGAATTACAGTGAGTATACAAAGAGAAACATTACCACTGCAAACATTCTAATGTTACTGCAATTACAATAATAGAACCGCAGTCTTTCCCGCAACACTAATTTTCCTGCCAACAGCATAATTTTCTATTTATCCACATACTCCCATCATCTCAGCCAGTGTTTTAAGGGAAATGGAGCCAGTGTACCAAACACGCAGGATAACAGAAAAACCCTATTCACGTCTTAGAATAACTGAAAGCAACCAGCAACGAAATCAGGCAGCAGCCAGGAGGAAATGGGTGAAGTGATGGAGAGGACAATGACAAACGAAATATCATGCTCATGTTGTCCGGCAGCATTATGTTGCTGTGTTTCAGTGACCGTGTAAGTACCCTCCGCAAATTCGAATTTGAAGATACTTCGCGGATGTCACATGCTATCTGTATACTCTAATTAAAGTTAACTGACATTGTAAAATGGGGAAAGGTTATCGAAAAATAAAACCGCATGAATTGTCACTCTTGGAAGAGCTCTGACGTAGAAACCCGTCTTGTGCACACAAACCGCAGTGTTATCAGTCAATGTAGATGCAATATAAACACGGAATATGTAATCAAAAAATCCGTAAGTTAATATTACTTAATCGAATATACAGAACGGCCAAAAATTATTCAGCACATTTCAAACATAGATACAAAGTGTAAAAGATACTAAGCAACTGCACTGCTTCAAAGAATAGTGCAAAGAGTTGTAATGAACAACAAAAGCACCTTCTGTAGCTCGCAGGAGGGGCACGATGCGCTAAAAAACATTTGCGTCTACTGCAGGTTCTACCTGCCTCCATGAACAGTTCCAACTATTGCGTCATATCCTCATGGCCGGCCGCTTGTGTTCCATACTCCACGTGGGAATGTCTCTGCACTTGTATCACAAATTTAATCTCCCAATACTGCAGCACATACGCCGCGTTTGCGTTGACATCATTCTGCGTTCCCCATCTGTCTTCGTTCAGCAGCACCACTATCGGCTGTAGTAGTAATTACTAGTTTCCAGAGTAAAACAACGATGGTTATGTCAGAATCACTTTCGTCACATACTTGATCAACCCCTTGGCAATCACTTCGAAAGAATTGTATTTTTCGCTATTTAAAACCACAAAAATGTTTCAAATACAAACTGTGAATCTTAATGAGCTCCATAATTTTTTACATGCAAATTGTTAGTATGATAAACTGTTTCTGACTTATCTGAACTTCAATGTGAAGTACTGTTCATATCTGACAGATGTAAACAAAAATTAAATTTACTCCACATTACCAAATTTCATCAAAGTGCATTCAGTACACTGAGAGATAAAAACATGTAGGGCAGACACACCCTCCCCATTATTTTTACACTTATTTACTGTTAACTAACTCCATACAGACGTTTCTCTTGGATCAATGAAAGTTACTCACATTCTCAACAAATTTCTCACCTTTGATGGAACCTAAGGTTCATTACCATGCTCAAAAAAACCTGCTACTCGATCCTATCCAGGGCCAGATAAGTTAAATTCAAATCTCACAACATATCCCTTAAAAAATCTTTGAATTATACTCCAATCTATGCATTGGTTTCCAAAGTGGTCTCTTAATTTCAGACTCACAGATTAATATTTTATACACACGTAACTCCATCACTTGCATGCTACATGTCCTGTCAACATCCTCCTTAATCACCCTAATAATATTTGGGGGGAAATATAAATTATGAAGTTCCACACTACATGGTTTTACCAATATTCCCATCACTTCTACTCTCTTTGGCTCTAATGATTTTCTCAGAACTAATGCTGTTAGTTAATCCATGTTCTTTCCCCGTGACCAAGTTCCATACCCATATAAAACAACAGGGGACATAACAGTTTAGCTTTCAGACAAGAGATGAAAATATAAAATATGGTGAACTAAATGGTAGCAATCATTCAGCAAATTTCTATGCAGGCCTCACATCTTGAGAAAATGTTTCTAAGCACATGACAAAGTTGCTGTCTGGGAATAAGGTAAATTTACTACCACATATTTTTCTTTCTGCTCTTATAGTGAATAAAAATTATTAAGGTACACTTTATCTTTTAGTGTGCCCCAAAAATAAAGTCATGAGTTTAAATCGGGTGACAATCACCAAAAGCTTCAATGTTCATAGAACAGCTGTGTCAGCCGTAGCACTGTTCTGCATGAAATACTGATATGTTTTCTTCACCTTCAACCAAATGATCAAAAAATAATTGGTCTTATGTAATGTTCAGAATTTAAAAAAAATAAACCCATTATTCTCTGAGCACTGATTGCTCACCACACTCCAATTTTCAAATCATGTGTGGGCACTTCATAAACACTAGAGAATTTTCAATGGCCCAGTACAGATTGATCTGTTTACATACGTGCTTAATGTAAACCACGCATAAGCCAGGGAGGCAGTTATGGTTAATTTTCCTGGAAGAACCAGATTGCTTGCCAAACTCAGATAGCAAAGCTGTTGGTCTCATAATAAACTATTTTTTAAAGACTTAACATCTATATCATCAGCAACCGAAAACTTATGTTTACCCATGTTACATAAATAATAAGGAAATTGTTAAGTTCTTAATAATATCAATGGTACCTCTTATTTTATGGTATCCCACTGCTGCAAGTTTCTATTCTTATGCTTCTGGGGAGTCCTGCAATAAGTGGGTAGCTGTCTACAGCAGATTACCTCTTTAGTCTAAATATAGCATATATACCATTGATAGTGAAGTGTTAAGGGTCAAGGCCACCCTTTCTGAACTATAAATTACTGCTACGTGATGATATCCTATTAAGTGGCTGGAACACTTCCCTTTCCTTGACCACACAAAAAACCATTATAACACCCTCAAAAATATTTACTAACTTCTCCATTGAATTATGACCATGTTTCAATATGATTACGTTCCACATGAAAATACTGAAAAATATACTTGGATATCCTTCAAACATCTAAATCAGACGTTTTGTTAGCCCTGGAAACAGTTTATTGCACTACATCCAATAGTTTACCTGCAGATGCGAAGAATCCTAGTCGTATTTCAATTCACCTCATACATAAGAACAAATAATTTACGCTACGGCAAGAACAAAGTAAGGCACGTGCCGGACTATCAAAATATTAAATCGAATACTTTTCATCAAGCCCATGAATTGACATCCCTTCCCATCGACCCTGCCCTGTCTAATAACAAAGCAGCCTGGCAGGCGAAACATTGAAACTTGTGCACGTACCTGCAATGACCGTATCGCTGAGGTTATACTTTCCTCCTGTGTTTGGAAAATCTTTCAGTTTTCTTCCTGTTAACTTTAATTCACCGCTTAAATAAGCTTCTTCTATTAACCGTTCCAAAGACCGTGTAAGCTGATTTTGTAAGTGACCGCTCATCTTCGCAGCAACCATCGCCATGTTATAGTTCTCATCCTTCTACAGCAAAGATTTGTGGGTACATCTGACGTCATTGTACGGAGGGCACACCTTAATAGTGTCGTCTGCTAGTACACATAAACAGTTGCACGTGCTTTCTCAGTTACACTGAAAAGTCGGTTGGGTACGGAATAGGGCAAATAATCGAATAGGCAGGAAGACTTAAATTCATGTCACCTGAGACATCTTCTGTGCTGTCCACAAAGGCGTAAAACAAATGAGGGACTGAACAATAATTTCATTTGATCTGGTGAACAAACACTGGGAGGTCCAGGGATCAGAAGTGGCAACCACATGGTTTCTTTGGCATTTTACTTAGTCTTAAAGCAATAGCTTAAAATAGATCATGACATGGAAAGTGAACATTTAACGGTGTTCCAGACTGTAGGGGAAACATACAGTAATGGCTGAATGCATGGACGATTAGGGCCAGTAGTGGCCTAAAAGATGCCATGATCTAACTCCATTAGATTTCTATGTTTAGGGAAAGTTCAAAAATGAAGTGAATGCAAGAATGGTTAGAACAAGACAAAAACTCACCAACAGGACTGAATATGACTGCAATCAAATTAAACAACACAGGGAAGAATTACAATTTTCTACCTCCATGTTAATCAGATACAAGTATCCAAGCAGGCAGACAAAATTTCTTTGTATTTAACAAATACAATTACATGCACTTACATGACTTTTTAATTTAGTAATTTAACATTAAATTCCAATTTTAGAAGTTAATTTATGCTTATTGTTTTTACTAATAAATAACAAAATAAAATCATGATTTTTCCCTTCCTTTATCCACTGTAACTTTTTTTATGAAGCATTACTGGAACCATATTTACAGAAGCTCCTTTATTCAACATTCAATTTCCTATCAGATCCCCAAGTTATGTACTCTCACCTGGGAACCGCCTTTATATTAATTGATTAAATCTGCTGAAGTTACTACACATTAGACTCTGATAAAAGGAACTCTGTCCTTGACTGCATACAGTAAATATTTCAGAAATATGCACATTGTCTACATTACACACTTATTTATAAGTATGCAGTTAAGAGAGTGTCATTAAAATCCCAAGAACATGGATCATGCTGTGGGTGATGATACCATATAGATGTGGGCTGTACTGCTGGTATATTGAAGATTCTTATAGTGTGTTGACCCAAGGTTATATAATGCTATTGTTCAATTATAACAAAATGATGGTCTTTGGCAAATAAAATGTCCTACATTACAAATGTAAAATAAATACATTAATTCTTTTTCTTCTTTTGTTGCTGTGTAATGCCTTGACTCTCCTGATAATGCTGAATTAATGCATCCTGTAATTCTGGCATAACTGGTGAGTACCTGCTGTATTCCATACTGAATTCACCTTTTCCTTGCGTGGAAGATCTTAACTCAGAAGCGTAACCAAACATGTCATTCAGTGGTACCTGAAATACATATATGAAAATGTTTAAGGCAGCAAATAAATACCTCATGATGGAAAATTTAAAATAATTATGTAAACCCAGCAAAAAATTACTATATGATTTGTTAACAATTCAGACTTGGATACACCCTGAAAAAGAAATTCAATTCATAAAGAACATAAAGGCATTCTGTTAAAGAATCCTTGATAATACATATCACAGATCTGCAGTTACAAGTATACAGGAACTCTAAAGCCCTGGTGACTGAGTCATGGCAGTATAATCATCACATCTGGTAAGGAGGAAATAAAAGAATTACAAAGATGAAGTGGAAAAATTATCAAGCAATGGATAAGTAACAAGGTGATCCATAACAGTGAACTATAATGACAATTTGGACATCCAACAAGCAACAATACAGTCAAATCATAATTTGTAATACACATCTAAGAAATACGAATTCTCAAATTCAACTGATATTAGTGCTATACTCTTGTTCATTAACCATTTTCCTTACTCATTTTTTTCGAAGGCCCCCCCCCCCAAGCATACTATTTTAGTTCAGTTTTGTCATCTTTGAGCATAAGTAACATAATGTTGGCGAGCCATTTTTTCAGAACACTACAACACAAAAACTCTTCTGCATATAAACAGCTTCATTATTATCTTAAATTATCTCAGGTTGTTTTTAGATGTTTGTGGTAGCCGTGAAGTTTACACTTCACCCATTGCTGAGCTTAATGTATGCCAACAGAGCTGAATGAATCTGAGTCTTTATTTTCTTCTTCTGACACAGAAATATCAATATAAGCACTGTGATTAATAAATTCAAAGAAATATAAGAGAATTCTACCAGAGGTAGTTGTTGCTGTTCCTTGGCTCTACAACCCATTTGTGGGTCTTTGCTGCCCCACCATCTAGCAGTGAATCAAGAGACTTGGGTGAGAAATGGCCACTGAATTTTGCCTACAAATCATCTCGTTCATGCTCGTAAGGTTCTTTTGCATGCCATAAATCTATTACATGGGACCGCTGGCTTTACTTCCACTCCAATGGAAGTTGTGCTACAGATTTTTACCAACCTTAAAAATCCATCGACTTCAGTCGGGTTTGAACTTGCAAACCTTGGGTCCAGTGGCAAGCACGCTAACCACTAGTCCATTGAGGGCAACACCAGAGATAGTACCTGTCAGTAAACTACTGAACATCTAATCCATCTAATGAGAAGTTTGAATATTGCTTTAAACAAAATAAACTGAGATAATTCATAGTGACAATATTCTGACTCACAATAACATATTTACAGCTAAATTTTCATCCCAGTTAATTTGTGATAGTTAAACGAGTGGTTAACTTACCTCAGCATGCAATGTGAACCACGCTGCAAGACCATCAGTGCCAGTGATGATGCCATGACGCTTGTTCAACTGACCTATCACAGTTCCCTGGAACTCTTCTGGTGCTGTTACCTCTACAGCCATGATCGGCTCAAGGATTTGCCAAATACCTGATTCAAATACTGGAAAAATGCATAATAATTTGAAATTATTCAGTTGAGATTCTCTTCTCCAACTTTACATTTATATGATTCAGTCTAAATATTTGAATGGAATATACTATATAATTATATGACATTCACACATTAATTCAATTACAGCTGAATTTGTTACTTATAACTTACTGTTGTTTAAAATTATGTATTTCACAAGAGTAGTAAGTCTTCTTTTAACTAGAAGAGAACTTTTGTAATTTTATAGTCTTTAATAATTTTACACTGCCATAACAAAACGTTAAAATAACACTCTAATAGTGCCATAATGCAGCCATTGATGGAACTACTGCATCACACTGCAAGATATGTATATATAATTTATAACTAATGTTTGTGAATAGTCAAAGATATTGAAACACGTCAATGTAATATTACAATGGATCTAAAAAAGGGTGTATGTGGACAGTATTCATGCAGTACAGGATAGGGACCAGTGGTCAGCTCTTGTGAATACATTAATGAACTTTCAGGTCCCATGTAATGAATGTTTTCACCATATATGTGTCTGTTAGCTTCTCAAGTATGACACTCCATGAAGGAGTAGTATTTCAGTGTAATGTTTCAGTATGTACCATTTCTGATTGTCATCATGGACCCTGTCATATCCAGTTTTGATACTGTTGAATTGTAATTCATTTCAAAGCTAGAGGTCCTAAAATGACCCTAGCCATCTACAAAACCTACCTTCTTTCACAGCACCCTGAGCTGCAAGCATGAATGCTAATTCACTGGAATCCACAATATGGTGAGCACCATCCTGTAGCCGAAACCTGATGCCCGACAGTTTATTACCTGACAACAAACCTGTAATAATACACATAAAGTTTTAATTCATTACCAAAACAATATATTTTAACATAAAATATCTGAGTATGTTTGTTTGTGGGTGGGTGGGTAATCACTGTATACGATTTTCAAGTGTTAACATAGACCAACCAGTTTTGCCAGTTTGTAATAACTCTGCTGACAAGCCTATACAGAAGGTCACAACACACAAACAGTCTATCATTTGCATGGATTGTTCCTGTGATATGAATGTTAAGAATATCTATGTATGCAAAGTACAGTTCATACTTATTTTGGAATATAAAGTATCAGGTCACAGACAAAGTTCAAAATGAAGACTGTTTGCATTTCATGTAGGCTAGGCAGGCCTCAGGAAAACCCCACGGTGGAACATTTTAATATAAAACATTAGTAGGATGAGGAAAACTAAAACATTCAGAAAGAAACCTGTCCCAGGACACTTTGTACACAAAACATTCCAATGAATCAACTTCAGATTTAACCAGGGCCTCGCAAATGAGAAAAAACCCAACCATAGTAATTACAATAAAACATACTTCAAAACTTTTGGATACAAACCTCTTTGTGCCATTAAACGGAATCCTCTTTCTACTCCTGGTACAAATTGTTTTGGCACATTTGTTCCTATAGTTTCATCAACAAATTCTAGTACTGTATTCTGATGTGGTGGTAAAGGCTGCAACAAACCAAGCCAACATGTTCCTATAAGCATTTGGTCATAACTGCTTCCTTAGCAAGATATGGAAACATTGCACATTAGGGCACAATACATTCCAATCCAGTGACATAATGAAATACTAAGTTCAGTACATTACTATATAGACATTTAAAAATGTAATATTCTCTTAAACATTATTTTTTGTGACTTAACCCTATTTTCTGTAACACCACTGAAATTACATGAATATAATTCAATATTTGTTTTGAATTCTATCTATTCAGAAGTAATCCAACAGTATTATTCTTCTGATTAAATGAGGAGTTCACTTTTATTAGATTATAATGCAGAACAATCCTAGACTGACACTGTTGCTTCAGTAAAATACAAGAAAAATTTAACGAAGAGTAGGATCTACTTTACCTACAATATACATGAGAGAGCAAAGCACTTCATTTGCATGAGTCTATACATACAGTATAAAGAGAGAACATTAAATATTTTAATCAACATGTGAACAATTTATTTTTCGTAAGACTTGAGGTTCTCACAGCGGTGAGTATGAAGATTTCCGTCTTCTGGGTTGTTGACCACACAGCGCAACAACCCAGAAGACGGAAATCTTCAATTTATTTTTCCATCTCCTGTGTATACAGGGGCCCTTTCATAAGTATTCTTCCTCTCTCAGCCACTTAATCCTAAAAGTGGCAGGTGATGATTTTTAACATATAAAATTGTTCACCAGGTGACTAAACCTGCTTATGCTCTGATTAAAAAATACTGAATCTTTTTGACAGCTAAAACAGATCTGCAGCTGTCGATACTTCATACTTCAATCATGTTTTCTAAGAATACGTTCTTTTACCCACCACTTCAGGAACCTGCAATGCCACTTCCATGATTAATGTACTTTTATCTTATCATGATATCCTTTTGAATAAATTAATTACTGACTGATAGGCTATTAAAATTAAAGTGCAAGGCGCTGGTTGCTCACTTCCATAATTCCTGTGACTCGAGCATACTGTCCTGCCCCTCCAGACTGCTTCTTATGGAGATAATCAAATTGACAGGGAGCTGCAAGTGTTTCACGAAATGCTACTTTTGGTTTCCCAAGATGAACAGGACATCCATATTCCCTCTCCATGCGCTGAAATACAATGGAAAATAGTAAAAAATTAAAAGTTGAAAAGAACTGATACTTAAACTCAAATCATTTTTATACAAATTTCAGACCTTAAGACACAATGACATGAAAACATTTTAACTACCATGGATAGAAGTCTGAAAATGGTACACAGAAAAGGATCATGGCAGAAGTCCAGACAAATGATTGCATTTTATATGGAAGTGAAAATTCAAAGAGAGGCACCTTCCAAAAATAAGATACCACAAACATGCAAATTATGTACTTTGTTGAATAAAAATATAACTAAAGTACTTTTTTTAATGAAACAGTGCTTCATAAGTTAAAGATGAAAACATGCCAAAAACCATCTAAAGAAATTACATTTTCTACCATAAACAAGGGATCAGATAGAAAAAGATGACCTAGGAACAGATGAACTTTGCCAGTATACACTTACACATTCTCTGTTTTACTACCACTGAAAATATAATTACACCCTCCCTAAAACCCAAGTTCAGTCCTCATGAATAAATACCAAAAGTTTGCTTCAGACCAAACACATCCCTCTTTACTTAGGTAACACAACAGAAGAACACATTTCCAATATTTTGTATTTACTTCTTCAGCAGCATATTTGCATATGAAAATCATAAAGAAGCCTAATTTCCTTCACACTGCAATGAAGCTGGTATTCCTATACATGAATGGACATACTAGACATGAACCTTCAGCCTCAGTAAAATTAGCATGTTTACTCTGGGTCCTGCCAATTGTCATGCCAGGGGTGAAACTCAAGCTCAAAGAATATCTGTGTCACAGCCAAGCAATCCACCATATACTTGACATATACTGCTCTGGGATTGAGTGTGGGACTCAGTGGTCAGAAATCAGCATGTAACATCCGTCCTGTGCACATCATTGCAAAAATTATATTGTATTGTACTATAATACAGAACATAGAAATTACTGTAATAAAGGAAATCTCACCTGAGCATATATTTCCAAATGAAGTTCTCCCATTCCCGACACAATAGTTTCTTTATTGTCACTATCATAACTGAACTGAAATGTGGGATCCTCCTTCGTGAACCGAGCTACAGCCTTGCTGAAGTTATCACGATCCTTTGAATTAGCAGGCATGATTGACATCGATACAACTGGATCAGGAATATACATTGATTCCTGTGAAAGAAAGAATGGTTGCATTATGGATATATTTCACATAACATTTCATGCTCTCTCAGAGTCAGAAATTATCACACTATAAAGCAGTAAAAATAATTACCATTGTCAGGTTCACCTTAGCATCAGTTACAAAAGTATCACCACTTGCACAATCAATACCAAATAGTGCAAAGATATCTCCTGCATATATTTCACTTACATCTTCCATTTCAGTGGAATGTAAACGTACTAAACGAGGAACACGGACCTAAAATAAAATATTAATCAATCAATACACTAAACATGCTCAGTTCTAATGAAAATAATTTGTGTTTATTTCGGTAACCAACGCTATAAAATCTATATATTAAAACCTTTTTCCTTGTTCTGACATTATACAAATGGTCTCCTTTCAAAAGCATTCCTTGATAACATCTAAGGTATGTAAGTTGCCCAAATTTTCCTCCTTCAAGCTTGAACGCAAGGCCAACAAAAGGATGGGCTTTGCTCCGTTCTGGTCTTAAGACCAGTTTCTCTGTCTCTTGCCTGAAACAGAATCAATAAATGTTAATGTGCACATATTTACATGGTTACATCAAACTCACAAGTTGATACTGACAGATGGTGATAGGACAGTACTGTAGAGGATTAATAAGTAAGTTTTTCACTAATACTAATCTAACAGAGTAATTTCTTTGTTTGTGTAATCTTCAAAGCTTAATCTAAATGCAGTATTCCATACGTAACAAAGTATTTTTCAAAGGCTGATATTTATTTTAAACTGTTTTCATTTCAACACACTTGATTTTGTAACATCCACTGAAGGTAGTTTTAAAGGTTTTAAAAGCATTTCAATGGAACCACAAATAAAATACCAGAAATAATGACCTGTGCCAAATGTGCAGCATATATACACATACTGCTATATATTGTTTGCAGCTGAAATTGTTTAAAATGTTTTTGCACTACAATATCATATATTTCAAGTAAATATACAGAAGTATATACACAGCAACCTATTTTATCAGAGATCCCTCCCTTTTTAATACAACTGTTCTTTGAACATCTAATTTGAGTAACAGCATGAATGTGGAAGTTTTGGATGGAGCCATGACCATGCGGGTGAAAATGACAAGGAAATTTTCAAAACAAATAGTCTCACGATACTGTAAACAGCTTTATATTCAAACATAGGTCATCTCTTGGCCTTAAGTGTTAAATTAATTGAGAGAGTATGTACAAAAGTGGAAAACTCAAAATGATTGAAAACTGTCACAAAACACAGTAATTTTATCACCATGTCTATCATTTCAATCCACTGCTTAGAAAACAAAAAGGAGGAAATTATGTCTTGAAATTGAGAGTTTGCATATTAATCAATTTCAAGTTCCTGATGCTGACAAATCACTACTAAGAAGCAACATGAATGTTTCTACAAATATGACATTTGGAGAGGAGGAATAAATAACAACAAGCAACAAAACTAACCCTTCATTCTCACACAGAGCAATATTTTCCACTTCTCCTGGATTGGGCAAATAACTGATTACTGCATTTAGCAGAGGTTGCACTCCTTTATTCTTTAGTGCACTGCCCACCAACACCGGCGTGAAAGTTCGATGCAGGCAAGCACGGCGAATAGCAGCCATAATATCTCCTTCATTTGGAATCTTTTCTTCTACAAAAATTTAATGTTCTGTTAGAATTCTGATATATAATTCCTAAACATATAACACATTAACAATGAATATACAGCAAACTTCTACACCAGTTTCTCCTGAGATCCAAAAATATAAACATTATATAAGAAAAGACTACAGAAAAAAATATAAAATTTCAGCACTTCAGACAAGTAAGAGAAGATGTATTGAAAGGACCAGGGCAAACCTAGCCACACCCAAAATGAGCAGTTATGGGAAGATATGGAACAGAGGATTCTGTTATACAATGATCCACCCTGATCTGTCTTTGATCTGCATTGCTGAAATAAGAATGACATGTATAATATGAAAAAACCATCACGAACATACTGCTTACATTACAAGTATCCATTAACATTTTTAGAGTTAGAAAGACGGAATGTTTATAAAATAATAAATACCAGTACAATTAATTAAATATGGTCTGAAATTACAGTACAATATTATATTTTAGTTGTTTAACATACAGTGGAACCTCGATACACTGTTACCTTGTTATACCACGGACTCGGATATACAGCCGCTGTGATCATGTCCCCCAATACGATTACATATGTTTTACATCATACAAATTTCTATAAAACGTTTCGGTTACATTATAAGACTGTACTGCAACATTCTTTGCTGTAGTATGAGGGTATAGAGGGTAAAGTCCATCATAGGATTAAGTACTTAATCTGCTACAGAAAACAATTCCAAAAAAAAAAATACAAAACACCTTAGTACATACCTAAGAACATTTCTCCCAATATTTCATCCACATTAGATACATGTTCTATCAGCTCCTGCCTTTTGTCTTCAGATTCAGATCTCATATCACGTGGAATTTCATCTTCACGAACAACTTCTCTGCACAAACAACAGAGAATAATACTTAATATCCCAAACTGATAAACGTCTGGTAATCAGAAGAGTCTGTAGGTTTTTCGAAGTCTGTGATAGGCCGGGCTCACTGTGTACCCAAATTACAAATTTAATTACATTTTAATTCTGTCCAGATTGACTTTTGGTGGTTGAAAGTTGAAGCAGGTGCCTTCCAGATAACATACATGTTCTCACAATGAGTCATACTGTCACTGTGATAGGCATAAGTAATGCTGATGCTGAACTAATATAAATATAATATACAGTGTTAACACATTTTTGACACTAAAACATGAACAAAATTACCAGCTACAACATACAGTGTACAGTGAAAAAAGTGATATTAGCCAATGGCATATAATCAGAACACTGTGGAAGCTCATCACTGTTAAGCACTATGCATCATTCCAGGGAACATCTAAACATTATCATATACAGACTGTAATGATACGTGGCTTATAACACACATAAAGAACAAGTAACAACTCTTCAATACAGAACACAAAATATGTGTGTGCTGTACATATGCAACTTGATAAGTATGTAATTGCAAGAATATTATAAACTTATTGGGAAAATTTAAGAACCATTCAAAAGCAAAGAATATAAGAATACAAAACAATAACTTTGTATGGAGGCATGTCAGAAAGTTCTGAGACTGATCCAATAACACACACAATACAAGTTCTTAAACATTATTGAAATTTACTCCCTTCAAAACAGTCAAGATTGAATAATCGGACTCCAGTGGCCCTGCTACTTCGGAAATATGCAAGGAACTCCTCTTTTAAAATGGGCCTCAATTCACTCACTTTTATAATAACCTACTTCTTGTCAAACCTACTTCAAGCTCATTTTTTATTTATTTATGGTTTATTTAACATTGCTGTCAGTTGCTCAGACTGTACAGTATCAAATTATAGGATTAACAAGTACTTAGTTGAGAACGATATAGAAGGAAGTCATTATTGACTAATTTCACATATTATTTTGTCACAAATCTAAGATTCACCAACAGTTATGATATTGGAAAGAAAGTCTGGAACTGTGGCACAAGAATGCAGACTGTATTCAGAAAACTGAATGAAAAGAGCCATATGACTTTCCAACTTCACTAACAAGTTCAGAAAATGATAAAGCATAATTAGTATGAACAAATGTTATATAAGTGATTATTGCAACATTTATGAATACTCATAGAAAGCCAACTTGTTAATCATCTTCAACTGATATTTGGCCATTTTTAAACTCACAAAACCATCAGAATGTCTGCATAGCTTAACGCTTTATCACCAAATATAAGTTCCAACAATGTGAGTGTGTTAGAAATATGACACTGACACTGACACATACACATTGTTTATCATCAGCTATTTCAGAATGTACACAATACTGCTTAAATCCACCCTTCAACTAACACACAAAACAAACAACCAAGTGCAGATACCACAATGACATCGCACATGCAAGAATGTTAACACACAACAGTGCTGCTACCTTATCTGTGCTTCTCAGCAATTCATGATAATTGAATAAATACATCAGTCTAGAACTTCTTGACAGGAGCTTGTATTTTCCTTTCCATTCTCCTTTAAATTTTAAAAGGTGTAACTTTGCAAAGGAACTCTAAAATTTACAACATTTATTATAGACTTTGAAATACATTATTTATTCATACTAACCCAAATTGTCCATCAAAATACACAGCTTTCTGCTTTATCAGATCAACTAAACCTTTTGTTTCATTTTCAAGACCAATAGGAAGTTGTAAAAATGCAGCATTATGACCAAGTTTGGACCTCATCTGAGATAATACTCTATTAGGGTTGGCTCCCATTCGATCCAGTTTATTAATAAATGCCAGGCATGGAACATTATAGCGCTTCATTTGTCTGTTGACTGTCAAGGTCTGACTTTGAACTCCACCCACAGCACAGAGAACGAGAATGGCTCCATCCAACACTCTTAATGCGCGTTCTACTTCCACTGTGAAATCAACATGACCTAGAAAAAATAAAGAAGCATTACTGATATTAATAGAACTATATTTTGTAACAAAACACGAGTATCAAATTAACTCTCACATTTTAATACATGAGAAGCTGGAAGATATATTTTTACTCAAGAAATCAACAACCACCCTTAAGTATCAGAAGGATACTTAAAGTATTTAGATTCATTGCTGCTAAGAGAAATATATATTAAAACATTAAAAGAGTGCTAATTACCGAACAGTTAAATAGCAGTTGCCTGCTATATCAGAGCCAGCTTTCATACTATGGGACACACATATATATACACACACACACACACACACACACACTTGGAAGACCATCATCTTATTTGAAAGTTTTAATATGGTATGATGTATATGCTACAAATAGGTTCCACAGTTCAACATTTTTTATTTTCCTGCTGTTAAGCAACACACAAAAACATGCTCTTTTATTTACATTTTCATTACTTCTATGGTTCATAAACACATAAGTTCAAAACTAGAAAAGTTTCATAATCCCTGATGCAGAAAGGTGCATTACCTTTGAAGAATATTCTAAAATGACACAGCAACAAGACATACACAATTTATCAAAATATGGGAGCATATACACCAGGCAATTAAGTTTATCATGTCATGAGTGAAACAAGCACCATAAAAAGTGATTTCTTCTCAGGCTACCAGCTATGTCAGGTGGTTGAATGGAGAAATCACCATACATTGTTTACCAGTCTTAACTATTACAAACAGAGGCCTCCAGACATTCCATGTCAACAAACTGAGGAATCTTCATTCTTCTAAGTGTTAAACACAAATCACTTTAGGATAAGAACAAGAAACTGAAGACTGAACTTTTTCATTCATTAATTACTTAGTATCTACAGTGTCAATAAGACAAATTACCAGATACAGTCAAACCTCGGTTCACGAACGCCTCGGATCACGAACAGCTCAGTTTATGAACAAATTTTCCGAACACAAAGCGTCTCGGATGACGTACTGTGTCTCGAGTTACGAACACGCAGGCCGTCAACATCGTGGAGCGATAAGCTGGGAGTATCAGC